TACGCTTTCCTCCTGGCCTAATTTTCTATTTATTAGGTAGGAGACACTTGCATTCACCTGTGTCCCCATCAACTTTGGAATAATTTCAAAAAAACATTTCATGTTTGTCTTTCTAGTTCCGTGCTATATCCATTAGCGCTGCGGTCGCAGTATAACGAACTACGACTTTCTATTATGACAAACCCGCGATATCGGGTGTCCGGATGGAAAGTATCCAAAATAAAAAATCTATATCTTGGAATCGATTGGCCTCCTAGGTCGCCAAATTTAATCCCAGTGGATTTTTGTTTGTGGGGTTATGTGAAGAACAGTGTCTGCCAGGTTAAGATCAACGAGCTTCAACACCTGAAAGCCCTCATAAGGGCCCCTGTATATCCAGCCTGGATATTTGTCGTGCCCCCAAGGGAGCCCACATTTAAATTTATTCAGAAAGTTATGTACTCAGAAAAAACTTTGATAGTTTCCCTTTGTAGTGGCGTAACCCATAAATGTGTATAATAAAAGCTTTCTGAGATATAATTATTTTATTTTGGATACCTTTCATCAGGACACCCTGTATTAAATGGGCTACTTGTAGCTGTACCGAGGGCTAAACTCTGACTGAGAATGGAGGAGGCGCCCTATAGATATGAATGGATTGTTTCTAGTCTAGTTCACAATATTTTCTCAACTCCAAATGATACATAGCTTCGAATATAATGATTCTTAATTGTGAATTGAGAAGGAAATTGTTGTAGAATTCCTGCCTCAGTATATGCTTGAAATGACTGTGTTAAACTGTGTAAGGCACTGGGGAATCGAAACAGAAACCATGGAAATACGGAGCAGGAGCGCTACTAGCAGAAGGAAACTGAAAATATGTGGAATAAAATGCATGGTTAGCCTCTCAAAGCACAGCGCTTACGATATGTATACATTTTTTTAACATCAGAAGCGACTCTGTATTTTCCTCGAGCAGTGCATTTAAGGGTTTTGTATGACTCTGGGTAAACCGCGATTATTTCCATGAACAGCATTAACGGTTTTATGTTCGCAATTAAGACGGAGTATGTTTAAATTACTGTGGATCTGTATGGGTGTGAAACTTGGTCTCTGGCATTAAGGGAGGAACATAGACTGAGGGTGTTTGAGAACAGGGTGTTGAGGAGAGATGAAGTGACAGGAGGTTGGAGAAACTGCATAATGAGGAGGTTCATAACTTGTACTCTTCTACAAGTATAATTAGAATGATCAAGTCAAGGAGGATGAAATAGGCAGGGCATGTAGTACGAACGGAGAGAGGAGGAATTAATATAGGATATTGGTGGGAAAGCCAGAAGGAAAGAGACCACTGGTAAGACCAAGGCGTAGGTGAGTGGACAATATTAAAATGGATCGTGGAGAGATAGGATGGGATGGTATAGATTGGATTGATCTGGCTCAGGATAGGGACCAGTGGAGGGCTCTTGTGAACACGGTAATGAACCTTCGGGTTCCATAAAATGCTGGAAGTTCTCGAGTGGCTGCACAACTGGCGGCTTCTCAAGAAGGGCTCATCTCCATGAGTGAGTGATGAGTGAACATTCTTGCTACTGCCGCGAGATGCTGAGGAGGGGCTAGACAACTGGGATTCACTTCATTTTGTCTGCACTAGAGCGTTACGCTCAACTAGATCGAAGGGACACATTTAACTTGTGTGTGGGTTCGGAAGCCGCGAAAGCAGGGCGCCTCAGAGAGTGAGGAGCTCAGGGTGTCAGAGCAGCAAGCCTCAGGGTACGACCCTCCGTAGAGGGATAGAAATATTTCGGAGGAACTTCAATCCTCCAGTTTCAGTTCGTACCAGCGTTTCACAGGAAATTACTGCCTCCATCTTCACTGAGTACCTACATTTTGGGGAACATACTACCTACAACTTCACTGAGTACCTACATTTTGGGGAACATACTACCTACAACTTCACTGAGTACCTACATTTTGGAGGGCATGATGCCTTAATCTTCAATGAGCACTAAAATTTTTGGGGGGACATGCAGCCTCCATTTTCAGTGAGTACCAACATTCTGGGGGACATGTTGCCTCCAGTTTCAGTTCGTACCAGCGTTTCACACGAAATTACTGCCTCCATCTTCACTGAGTACCTACATTTTGGGGGAACACATTACCTCAATTTTCAGGTAGCACCAACATTTTGGAGGGCATGATGCCTTAATCTTCAATGGGCACTAAAATTTTTGGGGGGACATGCAGCCTCCATTTTCAGTGAGTACCAACATTCTGGGGGACATGTTGCCTCCATTTTCAGTGAGTACCAACATTTTTGGGGGGACATGTTGCCTCCGTTTTCAGTGAGTACCAACATTCTGGGGGACATGTTGCCTCTATCTTCTACCCTGAAAACCTATCTTCCGTTGAAATACGATTTAGAATGTAAATTAGATCAAAATGGCTTAGAACTGGGCCAGATATCATATTCTATGATTCATTAGTAAAGTGGATCAACTTAACTATGAATATGATCACCTGTTCAGCGAGTTTACTTCATGTTTTCACCGAGGGAAGAAGAAATTCTGTATATTGCCTGCAATTCTTAATATATACTTCACGCCATTCACCGGTGTCGAAGAAGTTGCCGCACGGTCACGGCGACCCGTACAATATCACGATGCTATGTAATACCGCAGGCAGTTCACACTGCTGTCCTTCGTCACAGAATTCCGCTGTCAGAGGCGCTTGGCTCTTGGCTTTCTGTTATCACGGTTTAAATAGAATTGGCACTTCAAGGCTCACCTGTTATTTTTCTCACTGCAGAAGAACACTTATATAACAAAGGCGAAATTATAAATTTCTTGGATATGTAAAGAAAAGAAAATTTGAAGAAAGCAGTCTTCTGTGATTTTGCACTGTGTATATGTGGTGTTAACCGACGTTTCGGAGGACAGTATCGCCTCCATCTTCAGGGTAGAAGAAAAAATATAAGAAATCCGCAAGCGAAGAGACCGTGATAACCGGTAAAAGCAGAGTCTGCTTTTACCGGTTCTCACGGTCTCTTCGCTTGCGGATTTCTTATATTTTTTCTTCTACCCTGAAGATGGAGGCGATACGTTTCTCCGAAACGTCGGTTAACACCACATATATACGGTGCCAAATCCAAGAAGACTGCTTTCTTCATAGTCACCGCCGTGAAAGCCTCAAATCTTACAAAAGAAAATTTCTTCTCGCAGTACTTAATAAATTTTCATCACGTTTAAAGATATATATATATAGCTCGTTTTAAATTGGAATTATCAGGTTTCGTATTCATGCACTTCTAAGTTGGCTTCCTTTAGAGTTTCTTGTGTGTCGGATCCTTCAGAGTATTTTGTATATGAAAAATAGCAATGTACACACATCGGGAACTTCTAATTCAAACTTATTTCCTTTCCCTCAACCGCAACGACGCGGAAGGCCAAGATAAAACTGTTTTCCGCTCGGACCAACTTTTTGTTCATGTTCAAGCGCCCTGCATCCCCCCTCTCACCCCACAGCCCCCCGCCTTCAGTGTGGGGTACTGCACAGGAGCGACTTCATCAGCTGCAAGATCCTATCGTGTTGAAGGTATGCAGGGCCAGGGGAGAGAATCAATGAACTTCAATTTTTCTATTGTGCTCTCCCAATTTTTACACCCCTGTGGTCTAGTGGTCGGTGTTCCTGGTTACAGATCCAGAGGTCCCGGGTTCGATTCCCGGCGCTACCAGATTTTATCTGAGAAGTAGTGGGTCTGTAACGGGGTCCACTCAGCCTCGTGAGGATAATTGAGGAGCTATTTCAGGGAAATAGGGGCTCCGGTCTAGAAAACCGAAATTAACGGCAGCAGGGATTCGTTGCGCTGACTATGCGACACCCTCTAACCGCTAAAGTTGGCACTAACTCCGCCGACAGGCGGCGGTTGCTCGGTAGATACAGTTCGCTTGCGGACTAAAACCATGGAGTTTGTTTTTCTTTTGCTCTTCCAGTTTATTGTACCGCAGGAGGTCCCCGAAAGTACGCAGACATATGCTTCTCTGTATGTGGTGTCATAACCCAGAGGACCATAGTTTTAATTTCTGGTTGATAATGTTGTTCATATTTTAGCATCCACCTGCAGTTGGGATGTGAATTTATAACATCCACACTACACACTTCATAGGCAAGAGGCATGTGACATGCATGTGACATAGAATAAAAATATTTTTCAATTCGCATAGTGGGGGGTGGAGTCCAACTGGGCCCACTCGGCACGACGGCCACTGATTGGCCTATTGTAGACTGCCCTGGGTGATTATGATGATGGAGAATTTGGTGGAATGAAGATTGGCAGAGGAAACCGAAGTACTCGGAGAAAACCTGCCCCAGCGCCACTTTGTCCACCACAAATCCCACTTGACCAAACCCCGGGATCGAACCCGGGACGCCACGGTGGGAAGCTAGCAACTAACCGATTGAGGTATGGTGCGGCCTAAATGCCGAAATAATGCCTCAGTTAGGGCATTACTGCTTCCTTGCAGCTCATCGTGATGTTCCTAAAATCCTACCATCCGTCGTTAAACAGTGCAAGAAAGTAAAATTGATTCGATGTCAGGAGCAAGTTCCAGGAAGAAATAAAGTAACCATAAAATATCGTTAAACTTATAGGACATACTGAGGCATTACTGTTATGGTTACTGCAAATTGGACTGGATCCGCAAAATTTCCCGTTCCAAAACGCTAAGAGTTAGGCTGGAACGCGACGTCCAATGAAATAAACCTCAGGACCTCTCAGAATTTCAGAAAAGACAATTCAGTGTAACTGACATCAAACAGAACCATAGGCGGTCAAAATCACAGATGCATCTTCTTCTGAGCTTGTTAAAATGTCCCAGCGTAACGCAAATTCCCAGAATATGTTGGCCTACATAAAAATGCACGTTTTGCATTATGTGACACAGGGAACAGCACACATGCACAAGCGCACCACAAATTCCCTGCCCACAGTTCAGCTGCAGTGTAATGTCTCTTTCACTTACGTGTAGTTCATGGTCTCGAACTCAGGAGCGTAGCGATTGTACTCTGCAACACGAATAACCACGTCCATGGCCGCACTTACATCTCTGCCGGATGTAGCTACAACAGTCAAGTTGTAGGCCTCTCCTGAGTTCTTTGCGATGTACCTGTAAGACAGAAGTCATGACTGACATGTCAAACTGCATTTATATGTCTACAAATATTGGTCAATGAGTTGAGTTACTGTATGCCTATGAATGGTAAATATGCAGCCTATGTCGTTAGGGGTAGCTACAAAGCATTCTAAAGTGTATGGCAGAGGGATTTGCCCGCATTTAAACAGCTCTTCATTTCTCGAATGTAATTTGTATTTGATATTGTCAGTTCAAAATATCTGTTACATTGCAGAAGAATTTTTTGCCCACGAAACTGACTGACTGACTGACGGACTGACCGACCGACCGAACGACCGACCGACCGACCGACCGACCGAACAACCATCCAACCAACCAACTAACGAACCAACTAATCAACAAACCATGCTACTAAATAATTAACTAACAAACTCCATATGGCATAATTCTTCTTCAGAAACTCAGTTTGTGAGGATATTTCCAGCATTTTATGCACGGTTCATTACCGTGATCACAAGACTATCACTGACCCCTATCTTGAGCCAGATGAGTCCAGTCCAAATCTTCCCATCTTTTCTTCTAAGATGTATATTTTACTATTTTAGTACCACGTATGCCTAGGTCTTCCAAATGTTCTACTGACTTCAGGTTTACAGGCAGAAATCTTGTATGAATTTGTGTTATTTTCAATGTGTGCTACATGCCTCGCCTACCTCATAACCATACTTGGGAAGGAGTGTAAAGTAACGAAGCTCCTCATTATGCAGTTTTCTGTAGCCCCCCTATCTTATTTGCTTTCCCCGCCTTCGGTCCAAATGCCCCTCCCATATCATCACTCTGAGCTACCCTTGTTATCAGAATGTATCCGTGTATTGTTCTGTGCCGTAGTGGGGAGATATGGACGTACACTAGGCAGGAATAAAAGCTCGTTGTCCTATAAAACTGTAATGCCCGAAACCTTTACAAATACCTCGAAAATTGACGGATATTTCAGACCGACCCAGTTTACGTTTTATGGGTTCTCTTTTATCTAATTCATGATAACACATCAATGCATTAAAACACCTGAAGATGGCCATCTATGGCCGAAACATCTTGTATTAAGTGTTAAATGGTGAAAAAACAATTGTTGCACTGTGGATACATAGACGTTTAACATCAATAAACGTTGTTCCTACAATAATACACCTTTACCCTGCCAGGAAAATTCCTGGTACTCATTTCTCTTAGAGGCTGAGTCGACCCCAGGGTCACAGAGATGCTGGGAGGATTAGATAAATTGAAACATCCAATGACCTCACCGAGAATCGATCCCGTGACCTTCCGGCTTGTAGCATAGTGCCTCAACGAACTACGCTACCGCGTGCCCCCATCTATGAGCCGACTGTCTAGAAAATGTGGGAGCCTTGACCTTTCACACCCCTATGGGTCTTCACGGCCTGTTACATTGACTTTATCTTCTTTTACCTTTTTCCTATAATAACAGATTACCCAGGCCTGTTAGGGTAGTTAAGTCGAGAAAATTCATATGCAAGTGTGGTCGAGAAGTTTCGCTTCAAAGTCGAGGATGAAGACAGGAGAATAACATTGAGGCATACCGTAGAGGGAAAGTGTGTAAGAATGAGAAGTTAACGAGGCATGCTCAGGATTCTGTTCAGTGACGGGTTCTGGTATCAGTGGCGTTGAATCGGTGGGCTACACTCGTAATACCAAGAGCTAATTTTAAACTGCAAAAGACAAACAGTTTGCGTAGTGCAACTCAGTACGCCTACCAGATATATTTCTGAGAAAACTTTTCTTTTAAAAGTGAACAGAACAGAAAGCATGGCTTAATTAAATGACAGAACATTTTTGATGATGGGCAAAGAATAGAAAGGGAAGTTTCTGTTTACAGTGATCAGCAAATAAGAGGGAAAGAGACAAAGGATAAATTGTATGGGAATAAGCTAAGTGAATTGTCTACGAGCATGCAACAAGATTGGTCTTTGGTATCACTTAATTACAGGAGACATGAAAATATCATTAGCCACTGCATTAACAGAGAAGGAATTTGGTGTTTGTTGTACAGGGTGATTCTCTCGCTAGGAAAGCCAAACATTCCTCAATAATTTTCTTTTTAATTTTTGTATGGTTCCTTATGAAAATTGATAGGATGTTATCCTGTATGTTGTAAAACAAGGTCTGCCCAGAGCATATGCTGAAAATAGCCTCCTCCAGTATCCAAGCACTTTCGTAAGCGAATCTCCAAATTGGCGAAGACATCTGTAAAGGCAGCAACCACCCGCCGCATTGCGTCTCTGAGGGCGTCAACTGTTCGCGGATTATTGCGGTATACACGGCCCTTCAGTAAACCCCACGAGAAGAAATCTGGTGGCCTCAAGTCTGGTGATCTTGGCGGCCACAGACTTCTCGAAGTCAATCTGTCACCAAAATAACTTTCAATTTCCCTCATGCTTGCATTAGAGGTGTGGCACGCTGCGCCATCTTGTCGAAAGTAAGCTTCGATTGACGTAAGCTCAATTCATGTCAATTTTCATAGGGAACCATACAGAAACGAAGAAGTTATTGTGGAGAGAATCACACTGTAGTTCATGGGGGGAAAAACTGAGGAACTTCTGAAAACCCCAACACGTGGCGACTGAATCCAGTTACATGCGTTAAGACGAAAGCAATATGAGTATAGAACGAATGTTCAGAGCAGCTTTGGGCTACCACCGACACACCTGGGTCTTTGGGTTAAATGGTCAGGATTTGCACAAACTCCTTTTCCTTGTGTCACGAAACACAAATAAGGAGAAACACACTCATGTGTCAGCAGGGATGCACTTATTGGCGTGTGCCGTGTACTTCAGGAGCTAGTTTGCTCTCTTTTTTTTCTCCTTGGCACTACAGCCCCAGTGGGCCTAGGCCTACCTCCATGAACTTCTCCGTACACTTCGGTTTTTCTAGATCTTACACATTCGGTAGGACTCCTTGGGCGGGTGATCAGCTCGTCGCAAGGCCTCTACCTGTACACAAACACAGAAAAACGCACACAAACATCCATGCCCTGAGTGGGATTCGAACCCACGATCCCGGTTTCCAAGCGAGGGAAGACAGTACATGCCTTAGACCGCTCGGCTACTGTGATCGGCAGTTTGCTACTAATAAATGGAAAATTAAAATTCCTAGCCATATTTTAATGCAGCATTTTGTCCCTCACTAGAGACATTGAAATATACAGCGAAACATTCCAGACGGAACAACTTCTCGGGACCGGATTCAGAACCCAGCACATGAAGGCTTTGTAATGACCATGCCGATGATGATAAAAGTAACTGTAACTGAATTCAATTCTTCTTTATTTGCCTGCTAACTCAACAGCCCAAGGGTCAATTGCAAAGTGAGCACGAGTGAAGGAAAGAAACAAACACACACAAAGTTCAAAATATGCAATTTATAACAAATGAGTAACGATAAAAGAGTAATAACAACAAAAATCACAATTATAATTTAGGACGTGAGGGTAACAGCAATTCAATTCTATTCTTAGTAAATTCGTATGTATTTACCTTCTAACTAAATAATAATGATAACAATTTAATTACTTGAAGAAAGCAGTCTTCTCGGATTTGGCACCGTGTATATGTGGTGTTAACCGACGTTTCGGAGGAACGTATCGCCTCCATCTTCAGGGTAGAAGAAAAAATATAAGAATTCTGCAAGCGGAGAGACCGTGAGAACCGGTAAAAGCAGACTGCTTTCTTCATAGTCACCGCCGTGAAATCCTCAAATCTTACAATTTAATTACTTCATTTAAGTGCTTGCCAGCAGCACGTGGTCTGCAACAGGCGAGCAGTCAAAGTGCACATGAAAGCTAGACTAGGGCTCGAAGGGAAGCAGAAACTAGATAAAAATTTGACTCTAGGCAATAAAACTAGACTAGGTAACAGAGTAATCATGGAACTCAGTCGAATTAAGCAAAGGAAAATGTATCCTCAATGGTGATGTTGGAAACGTCCAGAGATTTGCAGATGATGTTTGCAGCTGTGATACACCTTGCTGCAGGCATTACTGACGTTAAAGGTGCTAAAATCTCTGATTTACTCAGTGGGTACATTGAGACCGGCAGGATAGGAGTCCAGCAAGAAGAGATGAAAGCCGAAATGAAAAGCAGTTAGGGAGATACGAAGGCACACTAAGAAGAATTTCGACATAACATCCAATTTCGACTAGGTAACTTGGCTGAAACTAATTTCCAACTAAGGAACAGTGGGATATAAACTGCCCCAAAATTATATCGCACTGATTAGGAAGGCGGTAAATATTTTAAATTTATTTTCGATGTATTGCATTACCTATTTTTTTCGTTATGGAGAGGAAAGTTCCCTCACGGATTCAGATTGGCTGACAGCCCGGAATTCAAGCTTCTGCGTGCCACCGAGCTGACTGTCTCTTCCACACGGTGATCACAGTAGCGCTGAAGATGTCTTCTTCAAACAGTCCGGACAAAGACCGGTCCTGCCGTGTCTGAGTTTGTGTCATCAATAGGCCATAGTCTCGAGGTACAAAAATAGTTACGCTGTTTATACACTGGCAGATCGAGAGCCTACTGTCGCATGCTGCAACAGAGCCTCACAAATTGCATGCAACTCCTACACGAGAGAGTGTGTACTTGTGCTGCTGGGATATGCCGGCGGCAATTCGAGGCAAACTGACCTGTGGAAATTATTAGTTCCGAGTTCCGAAATCTTGCGACAAATATGAAGGGAACTGAGGTTACTTCCCTTAAAGAGGCACAGATTTGTCTCTGACTCTGTAATATGGAACGGGCTAGAATATCTAAGGGCGGTTTATCAAATGTTCCCGTGGGTATTTGAATGTAATACAGCCATTTTAGAAAACACTTATCTGCTTCTCCATCCATCCATTCATCCATCCATCAATCCATCAATCCTTTCCATCCATCCATCCATCCATCCATCCATCAATCCATCCATCCATCAATCCATCCATCCATCCTTTCCATCCATCAATCTATCCATTCATACATC